GACCTTATGATCATTTTATGACCATATGTGACCAATTATAATCATATTTTTGACATGTATGATCATAGGATCATTATTTATAATAATTTTGTGGCCATTTATGATCATATGTGACCATTATGACCACATGTGACCATTTCATGATCACATGACCACTTGTGATCACATGTGATCATTTATAATGATGTGATCATTATTTATAATAGTTTTATGACCACTTGTGACCATTTTTTGATTACATATGACCATATGTGGTTACATGTGACCATTAATGACCATAAGTGACCATTTTTAATTACATATGACCACTTGTGACCATTAATGACCATGTGATCCTTATTTATAATAGTTTTATGACCATTTTTGATTACATGTGACCATCTTATGACCACTTAAAATCTCATATGACCATTTATGATGATATGTGACCATTTATGACCATGTGATCCTTATAAATAATAGTTTTATGATCACTCGTGGCCATTTTTGATCACTTATGACCACATGTGACCATTGATGATCACATGTGATCATTTTATGATCACTTATGACCATTGTATGGTCAAAAATGACCACTTATGGTCACATGTGACCATTTCTGACCATGTGACCATTTATGGCCACTTATGACCATTTTATGATCACATATGATTACTTGTGATCACATATGACCATTAATAATGATATATGACCATTTATGACCATGTGATCCTTATTTAAAATATTTTTATGTCCATTTTTGATCAGTTATGACCCCATGTGACCATTAATGATCACATGTGATCATTTTATGATCACTTATGACCATTTTGTGATCACCTATGACCATTTATGGATGATATTTGATCATTTATAACCATGTGATCCTTATTTATAATAGTTTTATGACCACTTGTGACTATTTATGATCACATATGATCATTTTATGATCACTTATGACTATTTTATGGTCACATGTGACCATTTGTGATCATTTTATGACCATAAATGATCACATAAAAATTCGAACTAAAAATTTGTGATCATATTAATGATTATTTTATCATAAAAAAAATTAATCCCAAAATAAATGAATAATTAAATGTGTACCAGCCATTATAGATGACCCTTCATCTTGTTAACCCCAAAAATTTTATATTTAAATTCAAATATCACATTTAAAATAACTAATAAAAATTACCCATCGTTCCTAAAAGACTGCCCACATTGTCTTTTATCATTTAATTAATTTATTAATCATAATCATAATCAATAATAATAGAGAATAAAAAAAAATTTTTTTTTTTTTTTCAAATTACAACAAATAATCCCGTGGCTCACTTTTTAAGTGTGTATGTGCGCGGGCGCCAATAATAATAATAACAATAATAATAATCGTCGTAATAATAATAATAATAATTTTATATATACATATTTCACGTCTCGTACACACAAAAATGATGGACGTGAAAAAATTGCTTAAATAGATTTACAATAAAGTTGTAATGTAGTTTTTTTTTTTTAAATATTTATGTTTTATATAATTAATAATTATTATTTTTTATTAATATCGATAATTAATCAATGAATGATTTAATTATAATGTAAAATAATAACGAAGATTTTTTCGACATTATTTATTAATAATAATAATAATATATTTTTATATATATATATATATATATATGTATATAGATTTTCAATAATTAACAAAAAATAAAACAAGTTAAGATAAATGAAAATGTTTGATCGTGCGACCGTATACTGATCGTTATTTTATAATTTAATCAATTATTATTTTAATCAATAATAATGGTCAAAAATTGCCTATCTAGCTACAATAAAATACAATACAATTACAATCCATTCCACATTACGCGCTAATTTAATTTTTTAATAATTATTATTTTTATTTTTATTTTTTATCTGTTAACACACACACACACTCACTCGCTCTTAAACTTTAAATTTAATCCTTTAAATAATAGCTTCCAAGACTCGTAACCGTTCGTACTTAATTATTTTTTATTTTTTTGTTGCTTTGCTTATATATATATATTTTTTTTATTTTTTTTTGCGAGTGTATTTATTTATTTTTTTTTTTTTCATTTTATTTCATTTTTATGGGGTGATCTCTTAAACGGGAGCGAACCACGGAGTCCCAGATCGTCCGAGGATTAATTAATTACTTATTTTATTTATTTATTTATTTATTAATCATTATTATTTATTTTATTTATTTGTTCATTGTCAATAGTCGACAAACTATAATTTTTACTTTTTCTTCAATACTTAATCTAAATTGACGCTTTTTTATTTTTTTAATTAAGCAATTACATTGATAATTAAACACGTGAACAATAGTGAGATTCGAGTTTTTTTTTTATTTTTTAAGCAGTGATTTTTTGTTTTTATTAATTGTTACTAATCAAAAATTGGTAACAATTAATTTTAAGTATCCGAAAAAAATTTTTTGTTTACCACACATGACCCATGTGTTACCACACAAGACCCATATGATACCACACATGACCCATGTGACCATACATGACCCACATGTTACCACAAAATACCCAAAAGAGGCCACATACAGCCCATGTGATACCACACATAACCCACCTGGCCCATATGATACCACACAAAACCCATGTGACCATACATGACCCATATGTTACCATCTAATACCCAAAATAGGTCATACACTGCCCATGTGATACCACACATGGCCCATATAAGGCCACACATGACCCATAAGACCACACATGGTCCAAATGGTACCACACACCGCCCATATGATACCACACAAGGCCCACGTGACCACACATGACCCATGTGCAAAAAAAAATCCAAAATTTTTTCGGATACATTTAAAATGATGTGTAGTTAAAATAATGACATGATGTATACATTTATATATAACATTGACCATTATCTAATGAGCACAAAGTATTTATTTATATATTTATTAATAAATTTATTTATTTATAATTTATTAAACCTAATCCCGAGTGTATTGAAAAAACACCGACATATCAAATTTATTGTTTCAATAATTACGATATTGCTTCGGGAATAGTTATTATTAATTATGTAGCACACATAAATGACATTTGTTTTATAAACATTTACGTGAACATTATAATAAATATACAAATGTTTATTTATACCCAATTTAAATAAAACTAAGTGTTCTTTTTTAATTAGTATTGCAATTTAAATAATTGCCTGGTAATCTTTAAACGGCAGCTTATAAAAATTACTCAAATAAATTTTAGAGTCAAAAAATTTAACACTTCCTCCGCATTTTTTTAAAAATCATCCGGCTGCCGTAAAAATAATTTTTTTTTATAACAAATCTCTAGTGTTTAGTTATTAAAAATGATATTCTTTGAGCTGGTGTTATACCCTTGTAGTGGATAATATTTTAGGATGTCGAAAGATTGTTGGAGCGTACTATCAATTTGTATTGTTAATAAATTTGTCAGTGGATTTTTCATGGGCTTATTACGACCTCGAGTGCTTTATAATTACATAATTAATTACATACAAAGACATTATTTTAACTAATTACGATATATCCATTATATTATAATTATTATTAATATATTTTATTATTAATAAGTAATAAGCTTTTTTATTATTTTTAAAAACTCTTCGCATATTCATGAGACATTAATCGAGTATTGCTAGGTTCATATGAATTGACACCAATTGCGTAGGTCAGGCACACACGCCACGAAAAATTCATCACGCTAATTTTCTATACAAACTGATAGTTTCCCCGTTAAATTATCGTATCAATTTTTACCCTGTTAAATCGAGTGTTTTTTTTTATTTAAAATAATCACAATTTTTAAATTAATAAATTATTCAGCGGAAGACGAGCGTCTAAATAATCCCACGCGTTAAAATGCCGGTACTGTTATTCTATTGCTTGCGTAGTTGTGACGTCACTTATCCCCACTCTTCGGCCGCTTTGGCGCCAAACGGGAGTTTACCCAGCTTGTGGAAGAAACAAATATTGCAACACATTTATTTATTATTTATTATTATTATAATTATTGTTACTATATTGTTATCGTTACTTAATATATTTTTTTTATCCCCGCGCAATTTTTACATTCCAATTACTGCGCATTAAAAAATTTTTTAGTCAAAAAAAAAAAATAAATTGACGCCGGCTATTATTATTATTATTATTATTATTATTATTATTATTATATTTTAAACTTATGTGTAATTAATTTATATTTTATAATTATTAATCGAGTGGGCGTGCGCGTTGTTTTAGATTTATTATTATTATTATTATTATTATTATTATTATTATTATTGTTGTTAATAAATAATTTTAATGCAGTCTCGGTCAATCTGACCCCCGTGTCGCCAGTGTAGTGTGTAGTGCCTGTGCTTATTATTATTATTATTATTATTGTTATTATAATTATTGTTATTATTGTTATAAATAGATCAATTAGCTTCTGGACGCCCCGATTTCTTAGGTAACGCCTAAATGGATAATAACCTTCGATTAGTCACCCCAATAATAGTATCAATATCAATATACATTTATGTATATATATATATATTTTGTTGTTTATGTTATATATATATATATGTATATAATGTATAATAATTATAATTGTATGTTATTGTATTAATTTATAATTTATAATAATAATAATTGTTATTTTAGTTGTAGTAATAATAATGATGGGTAATTATTTATTATGTGGTTTTTTATAATTAAATAAAAATTCCAGTCGTCCAGAAGCCAGCTCACAAATTTACAAGGCGTTCACATTTATCGTGCCGTTACTGATGGTATAGCGCAGTGCCCTCTCGTCCATCCTGAAAAAAAAAATTTTTTTAATTAAATTTTAAAAAAATTTTGAGATGTTATTTGTGAGATCAAGAGGAATTTTTTTTAGTATTAAATCACTTAAGGACCTTAAAAAAAATTCCTCTGGTCATAAGGAGTAAAAAAAAATTACCTACTTGTTATTAGGTCTTAACAAGGCTCAATGGTAGCCATTAGTGAACGCCGCCGGTATCAGTGGACCCTGAAACAGAAGAGACTATTAAAATTAGAGTTTTAAAAATGAATTTGATAAATAATTGTGTCTGGCCGTAAAGATTTAACACAACACAGGCTAGTACAGTTAGTAATGTTAGTAATAGAAATAAAATTTTACCAACTGATGGTAAAGTAGCTTTTGGGTCAGGCAAAACTTACGGGACTGTAGTTGAGCGGGGCGCGAGATACTGCGATCGCGGGAAACGCGGTTGTAGGGGGCTGCGGACTATTTGCAGCCTGGACATAGCTGGCGACCGCTGAATCCGCAGCTGCGGCTGCCACTGCGGCTGCTGCGCTCGAACTGTACATGTCTATTGGCCCAGGAGAGTTCGCCGCGGGAAATGATCGGCCCTGGGGCCCCCCGTGGCCTCCTGCCCCGTGTGGAGAGGCTGGCTGAAACCCGGCCTGTGCTGCTTGGTAGTTGTTCATCACTGAAAATTATTTTATATCAACTTACATTCGACAGAAGGATTTTTTTATTATTAGCCAGGTGTTAGTTCAGTTACTTTTTAAATCCATGCAGCTTTTTTTATTTTTTTGGGAAATTCTCTTGGGGTCTTTATTCTTGTTTTTAATACTTTTTTTTTTGAATTTTATTAAGTTAAATTTCTTGATTTTTTATTTATTTCTTAAAAGTTCTTTAATTTAAAAATAAATATTGAATTTCACTAAGTATTATGACATTTCATAAGTTCATTAATTTTTATTTTTTTTTATGAAACTCTTCAGTATTATAAATTTAAAAAAATTTAGAAAGTTTCATAAAATTCTTTTTAAAAAAATAATTATGAATTTTTTCATGAAATTTTCTAAATTCTATGGATTTTTTTTATTTTTATAAAATTCTTAGAATTTCATCAATAATTAAATGAAATTTTATTTTTTCAAAAACTCTCTGAATTATTTTACAAATTTTTTGTATCAAGTTTTCTAAATTCCACAAATTTTCTTTATTTTCATAAAATTCTTAGATCTTCATCAATTTTTTAATGAAATTTTTTTATGCAAGAATTTTTAACATAAAATTCGTAGAATTTCATAAAAAAATATTTTTTTTTCATGAAATTTTATAAATTCTATGAATTTTTTCATTTTAATAAAATTCTCAGAATTTCATAAATTCTTTAATGAAATTTTCTTTATGCAAGAACTTTTAATTTCATAAAATTCTCAGAATTTCATAAAAAAAATTATTTTTTCATGAAATTTTCTAAATTATCTCTTGATTATAAAATTCTCAGAATATAATTAATTTTTTTTATCCAAGAACATTGATAATTTTCCTAAAATATCGACTTTTTCCCTAAAAAAAAAAAAATTTGTAACCCTTCTCCACCGTTAATGCATTGACCCCGAAAGCTGATCTTTAAAGAAAGGCAACCCAGAATACCCCGAAAGGGATTTTAATCACCGGTAGCCGAAGACTGAGTTGTGCGATTTCGGGATTCATCCACGATTTAGTTGAATTGAAGTTTTAAAGTAGCGATAAAAGAGTTCGAGAGAGAGAAAGGGCAGCGGAGCTCGATGAGAAACTAGGAAAAGAAGAGGAGGAGGAGGAGGAGGAGGAGAGGATGATGACAAACCGAGCGGAGGCAGGCGTACAATCTAAAAACCCATTCAGCTTTTAAACTCTCGACAATAGCAAACGGTTACAAAGTTTGGGCGCCCGAGGAGCTGGGGCGCGATTCAAAAGTTTGATTTATTTGAGAGGAGATTGCGAAAGGCAGGACTAGACTCCATCCGTACCCGAGCCGTAGAACAAAGACCGCAAGTTAAAGAATCTTTTTTGTTACTTTTTTATTTTCATCCTTTATGAAATTTCGGATCGCAAATAAATTTACAAATAAAATAAAACGAAGATGTATTTTTTTTTAACCTACCAGAGAGAGCTTGCGTTAGCAAGGGCGTGTTGTTGTTTGGTGTGAGTTGTCCGTTGGTTAGGTCCACTGAAACACAAAATTTTTGTTCACAATTGCTCGATATTGGTCCGGGTCGGGATTTTAACTCGAGAATAGTTGACTTGACTAATTTTTTAATAACAGTTTTAGAAATTTGTCCAATGTGTTGCCTCGCGGTATTTTTATTTATTTTTTTTTTTTAATTATTATAAAATTTTAATTTAAAAAATAAAAAGAAACTTCAAATTTTAATAAATTATTTTATTATCAATATTTTTTTTTTTTTTTAAGTAAAAATAATAAATTTTTTATAAAATTTTTTAAAGACCCAAAATTAAGAATTTCTTATTTTTTTTATTAAAAATTTACAATTTTTGAAGAAATTATTAATTTTTTTTTAATAAAAATTGTAAATTTCAAGAGTTTTAATAAAATTTTAAGGATAATTTCAATTCTAGGACACTAAAAAAATTTTTTTGTTGTGTTTTAAGGATCTAGAAAGTATTTTAGGGAGTTTTTTTAGCAAAAAATTGCGAAAATTTTAATTTTTTACTTGTTCTAAATAAATTTTTACCAAAAATGAATTATCGATTAATTTTGTGAGCTTAAAAAAATTCTAAATATTTATCATATTTTTTCTTATTTAAAAATTTTTAATCAATTTTTAATGAAAAAAAAAAAAAAAAAAAAATTCTTGAGGGCCATTTAAAAAATAAAAAAAATTTTTAATAAACAAAAAAAAGGAATAAAAATTATTGCATAAAAAATCATAAATTTGTCTTTTAAAATTTCATTAAAAATAAACAAGACGATAAATTTATCACACAATGGGATTCCTGTTTTCTCGATTGTTCTCCAGGAAAACACTTGCCCCTCCAGAGCAAAGTTTCTTCCACTTTCGACACAATAAGTAATAAACAAAGCAAAAATAAAGCTAAAAAATTGAATAAAGTGGATAAAATGTATTCACCGGTCCGTATAATTAACATCAGCAGGCATTACTCACCGAAATGACTATAAATACCGGTAATTAATCAAGCATGAGGACAGATGTAGACAATTCCGTCCAGACATTGCGTCCGAAAATACCTACAGTGGATCGCCGAAAATAATAACCTATTGAACGAGAAATTTAACCCGCCAGCCGGGCCATTTAAGCCCGACAAATCTCCCGATTAACGATTGCTCTTAATCATAAATTAACGATCGGCGAATCAGTAAGAGTAAAAGATTGACAGAAATTTTGGGAAAGTTTAAAACGCACTAATATGTAGGCCAAGAGTTAATCTATTCCGAGTGAATTTTCTGGTAAAACCGATCGGGGGTTGTATTGGTATAGAAACCAATGGGAAAACTTGGCCGCTCTTTCTCTCTCTGCTACTTGTCTTCTATTCGCTAAATAAAACCACTTGACCGATAGAATCCTCATAAAACCCGGACATTTATCGGTTTTGGCGATAAGGGACGCTACGCTCACTCTTGACAAGTTTTAACTTAAGGGCAGCTCTTTTTGACGTCTTGGGTGCAGAAGGTGCTTTTGGAGTGACAGGCGAAGCAACACATGGTTATAAAAGGTTAGTGCAAGTCAATTATTCCGGGTGGCACTGAAAATTTTAAGGTTCTGTTGAAATTACAGGTCAGCCTAAGCTACCAATTTGTTTTTGGTCAGTTGAAAATATTTATTTTACAATTGCCGCTTTTTGTTATGCAGAAAAAAAATTTATTTGAATCAAAAGGAATATTCTTTGGACTAAAATAATTATTTTTAAGAGACAAAAATTCTTTAATTAAGTTTAATTATTTTAATTCAAAAAAAAATTCAAGATAAATTGAGTTTAAGAATTTTTTTTACCTGATTTAAGTTAATTTTTAATAAAGTTGGTAGTTAATTGCTGTTTTTGACTATAATTAGGGTTAATAAGGAGTAAAAATAATTTTTTTTTGCAGATTTTTTTGGAAAAAAATTAAATTATTGATTTTTTGTTACAGTTTTCGCCGAATAATCAATTTAAAAGAAATTTTTATTGAAAATTTATAATTAAGAAACTGAAAAAATTTTTTTTTTTTGTATATTTTAAGACTTTGAAGGGTTTTAAAGTGTATTTTATTGCAAAAATAACAATATTCCTTATTTTAAATTACTTAATAATAATTTTTGTTGAGTATAATGATTGAAATAATTAATTAATAGGAAATTTTGATTAAAAATTAATTTTTTAAGAATTTTAAAGATATTTTTGGCATTTTTTAAAACTTTAAAAAGTATTATAGACAATTTTCTATTGAAAAACTGCAAAATTTGTAATTTTAGACGACTTTTTTAAAAATTTACAATAAATACTCATTGTAATAATTAATTTTCACTAAATTTCGATTGAAAAATTTATATTTAAATTAAATTAAATAGCAAAAAACTGCAAAATTTGTATTTTTAGGCCATTTTATAAAAATAACAATAAATAGTCATTGTGATAATTAATATTCACTAAATTTTGATTAAAAATTCATATATTAAGGTTCTGAATTAGTTTCTAAATAAAAAAAAAATTTACCAGTAAATTAACTATCAAAAAACGGCAAAATTAAATACTTCCATAATAAAAATGAATTTTTTCAACTGACCAATTAAAAAAATGAATTAAAATATCTTAAGACTAGTCTACGCGACTCGGATAAAAATTCTATACTAAAACGACTCTAGAATCGTCGTCAATAATAAATATCTTAATAATAATAATAATAATAATAATAATAACACTGGTACGTCTAAGCTACTCTAAAAAAAAGAAACTACAAAAAGAAAGAATCTCCTGAAAGAAAGCAAAAAATTATTGAGACCTACAAAAATAAATACCTACAACAAGCTTAATTATATAAAGACTATAAATATAAATATAAATATAAGGTATTTTGTCGATTCGGCATTTATAGTCACTCGAATTCGTACTAAAGACACCCCCTATGAACTAGAGCTAGAGTTAAGTACTTGAGTAAACTTTACAGAGGTTAGTCGGATAACAAGACTCCGCTACTGACTGTTATGTGTCTAACCAGCGGCTATTTAGCTTCATTTAGCTTCAACTTAAACTTCTACCTACGTATATAACCTATAAACACACACAGATATAAAGTAAACTGTTGCCCTAACCCCATAGTCTTGATCAAGACGATTCGTTATCGACCATGGAATTAGAGCCCTCTATAATATAAGAAGACTCCTTCTTAATATAAACATTATTTTATCCTCTTACTCTAATAATAACAATAACAAACAGAGGTTAGGTATGGTAAATTACTCGCCGCAAGCTGCCGCCATCTTCGGCTCTTCATTCGCCATTTTGTCGTCTTCTTAGGGATCACCTTGTTTTTTTTTTTTTTTTTTTTTTTTTTTATTATTTTAAAGCTTTAAATTAATTCGCAATTTTTTTACAATTTTTAAATGCGAATTTATTTAACGCGAGTTTTCACTAGAACTACGACAAAAGCATTAACATGCGCTTTAGTATTATAAATAATAATAATAATTAAATTTAGTCATGCCAAGTCTAAGTTCTAGTGAAAACTATGTTAGGTTTTGGAAAGTTTTAGTTATTAATATTAAAGTTTCTAACTAGTGAGCTAGGTTATCATCCAACGTTATTCTTCAATTTTGTTATTACTGCTAAGAGCTACCGAATTCGAGTTACCCGCCGCGATTTTACCAGCGGTAACGCTCTTATCGACTGCAAGTATAGAAAATTTTTAATAGTTTATGCACTAATATTCTATGAGATAGATTTAGAGTTTAGTTTTATTTAAGGCAGGCTTTTAATGCTCGAGCTACGTTATTTCTAGTGTTTTGTGTGTTTTGTGTTATATTTTTATGAACGCGCCCATAAAATTTAAAAAGGACTTCAAATTATTAATGAGAATTTAAAAATCTATTAATTAGAAAAAAAATTTTTTTAAAAAGGCGTTAGGTCACTGAATTTACTGTAGCGTAGTATAAAGTTCTAAAATAATCAATTGGAAGCAACAGGGTTCGAATCTCGGTCAAAGTATTTTTTTTTTTTTTTTTTTTTTTTATAGGTGTTTAAACTCGTCGAGCATTTAGCAGTGTATGAAACAATAACAAGAGTAATAACGAGAAAGGCAAGTGTAATTACTTGTGAAACAATTCACGGTAAGGTGTCTTTATCTGAGTATTTAGTTGTATCTGAGATGCATCCCGGATTAGAAGATAACTTTTTGCCACCCGTACTTCTACTCTAGCCAAGTTCTTGTTTATGATTCAAGCATTGTGTGTATTGTATTCGGTGTATATTGAGTTTAGTTTATGCGTTGTGTGCTCTGTTGTGTTGGTACCAGTATAGATGCAGTATAATACACTATAATATAATGCAATATAATATAATATAATATAATATAATGTAATAGTAATAGCAATAGTATTGTGTGTGGAGACTGCAAATGTCCTTGTTTGTGTCTGTGTGTCTATGTGTGGAGACTACAGACTAAGGATTACGGTTACCGTCAACACGAGCGAGAACACGAGAACTTGCTCGAACAACGTAGCACTTTGGGGTTGAAGCTTACCGGTGCAACCCCCGCTGGGGCTCACGGACACTCGACCGACTCTTGGCCCCACTGCGCGGTATACGACCGCTCCTACCCAAACACACAACAGACATCAACCCTTCGAAACATTAACAATAACATTACAACATTATAACATTTACGAGCTTTTTATTATATTACTGTTAAGAGTATCCTAGTAGTGTATTTGTTTTTATTGTTTTTTGGAATTACATCTCTTTAATTTTATATTATTTTTAAGTTAGGGGGTGTAACGAAAATTTTAATTAAAAATTTTGATTTTTTGATTAATTTAAAAAGAAAAATTTTTATCAATAATAAATAATTAAAAAATTGAATTTAATGTTGAAATTCAATTTATTATAAGTATTTAGGTTGCATTTAAAAATGCTATCTCTAGGCACGTAATTAAGAAATTACCTTGTATCTTGTGAACTATTGATATTTTTAAAGATATAAGCTCATCCTGATGTTACACTCATCGAGACCTTTCATTTGAGTACCCACATCAATTTTTCATATATTTTATATATTTATATATATCATATATATATATATATATGTATATATGAAAAATATATCAAAAATACATGTGGGTATTCAAATGAAAGCTCTTGATGAGTGTATCATCAGAATGAGCTTATATCTTTAAAAACGTCAATAATTAAGAAAGTACAGTGCAATTTAATAAAATTCATTATTCAATGCATCAAAATTTTATTTATAGTTCACAAGTTACGGCAAAAATACAGATAAATTTAGATTTCACGATTAAATTTTAAAAATATAAATAAATAAAAATTTTAATAAAATATCTAACCAAAAATAAATAAAATAAATATAATATTAACGGACGAAATGAAATAGAGATTGAAGAGTTTCTTCTGCTTTTAATTTTTTTCCGTTCGTCTCTCAAGCGCACTTTAATATTACGGAAAAAAAAAATTTATTATTTTTCAGATCTAGTAATGCGTTAGATGATACCTGGCTCACAGTTATCACTCGGATAAAAGATGAATAATAATAATATTTATTATTATCCAGCGGGAAAAAATTTTCGTGATTAAAACTTCCTACTTTTACTAATTAAATTTTGATTAATTAACGATAATAAATAAAATTTTTCCCCACTGGACGCCGGTTATTTATTTTTAATCGATGACGTTATTTATTAGTTACATTCATTTTGTTATAATTAATAATTAATAATAAATATTTCATAATTAGTCATTATAATTATAGAGCTTTTAATAGCGAATTGTATTACAGTGATTTTGCGGTGCGTTGTAACTTATATCACTTAATAATTCAGAGCGACCTCCGACGGACATTTTATAATTATTATATTTATATATATATATATATATTAATTATTTTATTAATACCTTATTTTTAATTATTTGTTTTGTATTATTCGATTTACAAAACACTCGCGCCTTTTTTTTTCTCTTGTCAATCGTTTTATTTTTTACCGCCTTTGTACTCTATTTATATTAAAGTTTAGAGGAATAATTTTAGATAATTATAAGATTTTTTTGGGTTAAAACAAATAATTACAACCCTAGTAATTTTTTAATTTAAATTTTTAGACTACTTTTTTTATTAATATAAAATTCTGGGTTCGAATCCTGGGCCAAGATTTTTTTTTTTACTTATAAAATATTTATTATGGCAATTTTTTAAGTAATAATAATGTTTAATGTAATTATGCCAGAAAATATAAAAAAGATCAGAAATTCTTAAAGAGAATTTAAAAATCTACTAATTAAAAAAAAAAATTTTTAAAAAGGCGTTAGGTCACTGAATTTACTGTAGCGTAGTACAAAAATCGCAAATAATTAACTGAAAGCAACAGGGTTCGAATCTCGGGTGAATTTTTTTTTTTTTTTTTTTTTTTTTTTTTAAATTATTTTAATATGTTCGGTAAGTATTTAGCAATTTTTTAAGCAATATTAAGAATGTTTATAATTAATAATAAATTTACTTATTTAGAGGCCAGAAAATAAAAAAAAGTCAGAAATTCTTAAAGAGAGTTTAAAAATCTACTAATTAAAAAAAAAAATTTTAAAAAGGTGTTAGGTCACTAAATTTAAATTAGCGAAGTAAAAAAATCGTAAATAATCAACTGGAAGCAACAGGGTTCGAATCTCGGGCAGAGTTTTTTTTTTTTTTTTTTAAAAAGTGATTTAATTGCCATAATACAAAAAATTTTTTTAAAAATTGTAATTATTATTATTTTTTGTATTTTTTAAGTTACTATATCTCGTAAAATATTGAAGATAGACCAATAGAACAAAAACATTTTTAATAGGAAATTTTCTCTACAATTTTATTCCTAAAATTATTATTTTAGGAGTTACTACCATACAATCAATCAATCCAGGGTTCGAACCGGAGTGAGTGTAATTTTTTTTTTCTCCAAAAAAATTTCCCAATAAAAGAACTTGTAATCGCAGCAAATTCTATCCAAATAAAAGCCGATAAAAAGCGATTTCTAAATTAACAATGACAACTAATCCAATTTACTTGGATTGTAAAAAAGTTGGTTCCGCCCTTGGGTTACTTCTTTCAGAAGTACAAGACTTTTGATAGCATCTAGCCGTACGTAAGCTCCCCTCCACCGAGGAGGTTTTCTTCCCCGATAAAATAGAGTACAAGGACGATCAAATTGACCCTCAATATTCACACAGGGCAACAAGTGCGCGAGTTCCAACAACAACAATCTTACGAGTAGCAACAATTTATCGTAGACGAGTGCGTTAACTTTAACTTGTCATTTAATTATTTATTCTGCCAATCTATTTTTGTAATTTAAAATTAATTAAAAGACTAAAATGATCAAAGGAATAAAATTAACGCAAACGTAAACGCGCATTAAAATATTATAATTAATAATAATTGTAAATACAAGCACTTGTTGATAACAAATATAAGCTCAGGACAGATGGTTGATTTTAAATTTATTTTTTTTATTCAAACTCGACTTGATATTCAAACGCTCCTTAATATTTCAATAGCTTATTTATTTATTATTAGCCAATTAAATGAAATTGGATGATGTTTGCTGTTAGATTTTTTGAGGACGGACAGGCATCGTCACTCGAATAATTTGCTTAATGATTGATTTATTGGACGACGGGTACGCAACAAAAATATATATTTGTATAAGTACCTTTTCTTTTTTTTTATAATTAATATTAATTAAGCGAAATAATTAAGCGCTTTGGTAATATATATAAAATACCTTTTGGTTAATAAATTCGAGAAGAAATTTTGATGGGCGGATCGGAAGGTCTTTTTTCACATTTTAGTTTTTTTTTTTTTTTTTTTAAACAAGTTTCTCTTCTATTAAGGGTTGATTTTTTTTTGACCCAAAATTTTTTTTAAATCATTAACCAAAAGTCGGACAAAAAAATTTTGCAGAGAATTTAACGCTCTATAAAAGAGATATTATTTTTTTGATAAATTTAATATTTTGAAAGTTATTTAAGGTCAATGATAAATTTATTAAAAATTTGGCTTTTTTGGAAAACTAATAAAAAAAATTGTTGTTAATTTATTAATATAGTTTTAGAATTTCCAAAAATTTGGAAAATAAATTAATATGACCAAAATTTTGGGAATTTTCAAAAAAAGTCCAAAATTTAACTTAAAGTGAATTTTGACCTAAAAAAAATGATTAGGAACCTTTTTTATATATCTTTAAATTCTTTTACAAATTTTTTTGTATGATTTTTAGTTAGCGAGTTAAAAAA